AGTTAACAGTTTCCAAATTTGGAAAAAAAAGTACATTATTCATTGTGGAAGTCTCCACAAGAACGATCACTTTCAGGACCATGGAGGTTCACTTATGCAAGATGGCCAAGTTAGCAGAATGCAATTATGGAATGAAGAACAGCCATTACTAATCGAAACAAATAAACAAGCACCTTTCACAAGCTCATCTTCACCTGCAGCTTGATCGGCTTAATAAAAACATTACATACAGAATCATCAGTTCCAGTTGATCTATCAAACTAAATGTCACAATCAAAAGATTCAACAGCTTTTAATGAACAGATCATCCAAAACTGCAGCATCTTTAATTCCCATTGTCTTCCAAATATGTTCATAATCTAAACAAACAATTACTGCCTCCAACCATTAGGTTACCTATAATACAAATTGTTATAATAAATGTTTCAGCATGTTTTATGCTGGAAGAGATTAAGCTGCTTAAAATTTGAATACAATTGAAGTCAACATATGCTGAAATGTAATTGAACAATCAAGTATCAATTTTAGATTTAAATGTTGTGTTGTAATATCAGTTTGTTCAAGAATGCACATGTTTGACATGTTAATGTTGGCTTTCTCGGTCAATTGAGGATTTCTACTGTACTGATAAAATCAAGACCCCAATAATGAAAGAAGTTGCCAAAAACTGAATGCTTCCCAGGATATATTCAGCAACTTAAAAGGAGTTTCACTGAAACTGTTCAGACTGCTTTATATTTTGTAAGTAAGTGTAAAGTGTCATGCGAATCTATGGACAACACCCATTCACCAACCCCATCCCCCATAAGTAACTGCTATAATGGTCACAAAACTAATACCTAGCATAAAGTGCTGATATTTCTCAGAGGATGAATGACTGACTGACTGACTTCAGAGCAGACTTATTTTCATATAAGCCACAAGTTGCTTTTTATTCCTCAGCTCTATGCTATACATTAAAATCAAAGTAAAAATACACAAAAATATTAACATCACAAGTGCATGAATGCCAAGTTCATCTAATCCCCCAAAAGCCTTCTAAATCACAGAACAGAATAACTACTTCTGAACACCCAAATATCTAAAAACATTTGTCAATGAGTTAGTTGTCATTATTCCTTTCACAATCATGTAAAATTCACATTTCCCTCAAAAGGTGTGCTTTAGAACCGCAATGATACCGTGACGTGAATGACAAAATGAATGAATGCAACTAAGAGATTGCAAGGCAGTAGTTTATTAACATAACTCAACTTTGCAATGATAACGGAAGATAATTCAGATGATCACTAGTAAAGAATAGGCTGTATATATGTGAATACCAACTGTACGAAATTTAATATGAATCTCATGCAGGGATTCCGAACCTAAATGATGAGAGATTGCATAGGTCTGAGACACAGAAGGATCTAGCTGTCTCAGTGCATGAATAGCAAAGGGCTAGTATGCAGGGACAGCACGTATTAAGGAGAATTACAGAACGTTGTTGTTTATTGCATACAGAATTGAATACACACATAGGAGGTAATATTTTAATTATTCAGGGCTCTGGTGAGACCACATCAGGCATACAGTGCATAGCATTGGTCTCCTTATTTAAGGAAGCTTGAGAATGCATTGGAAGCCATTCTTAGATGGTTTACTGGACTAATACCTGGAATGATGTGCTACCTAATGAGGACAGGCTGAACTGGCTAGGCTTTTATCCAATGGAGTTTAGAAGAGTAACAGTAAGAAACCTACAAGGTCCTGAGAGGTCTTAATTGGTTGAATTTCAAAAGAATGTTTTGCCTTGAGGGGAATCTAAAAATAGGCATCATTTTCTAAAAATAAATAGTGCCCACCTAATACAAAGATGAGATTTTTTATTTCACCCCTCACGTGGTCTTGAAACCTTAGAACTCCCTTCCTCAAAAATTTGTGGAAGCAGAATGTTTGAATATTTTCAAAGAAGAGGGAAATAGACTGTTGATAAGCAAGACAGCAAAAAGATTATGGAAACAGGAGCAAATGTAGAGTATTCAGATCATCCAAGATCGTATTGAGTAGTGGGGGAACCTGCTCCTGCTGCTAGCCGGTACATTTCTATCATTTTAAGTATTCCAAGAGGGTTTCCTATTGTCAGGATAAAAATTTCATCATTGGAGCTGATTGCTTTCAGTGAATATTCCATAGTTTTAAAACTTCTCCCTGACTTCAACATTTACTACCACTCCATGTTCACTGCTTTGGATTCTCAGGTACATTAAAATTCAATACAGTTGATGAGGATCCAGTAGAATATCCCAAAAAACCCTGAAGAAAATAACATTCATTGAAAATAATAAAACTACAAATAACTGCACGGAAATGCTTCGGTCATTGTCTGAATATCTGAGAACAATGCAACAAATGAGCTCATCAGTTAAGACTGCTATACATTCAACACTCACCTGCTCTTCAGTAAAAGTACCCAAGTATTGTTTTGACTGAGATGACAAGTCATTATTCTTGACTTATACTGCAACTCATTTCAAAACCAAAAACAAACATTCTTAGATTAAATTACACAATTAGCAATGATTTTCTATTAAAATAGATGACAGCATAGTAGTTTCTGAAGTTGAAAATAAAGTATTATAGAAATCAGTTTAATAAACTATATATAAGCTGAATTGCGTACTACTGTTCTAGGTTCTTATGTAAGTAATTTATATATCTGATGAAAGATTCCTACAGGTAGTTTAAGTGAATGTGAGAATGTTAGAAATTAAATTAAATGCAAATGATTTCACTGATTTAAATAAAAGCTCGAGCCGAATGCAGATTGGTGGAATGGGTGGTCAAGTGCCAGTTGAAATACAATGCAAAGTAGTATCAAGAAATTCATTTCAGCTGAACGAAGGAGGTAATTTAAAACAATTCTAAAGGGGGTGCAGGAAGGAAGAGACCTGAGAGTAGCATCATGGGTTATATCAACAGGGGCATACAATACAAAAGAAAGGAGTTAGGTTAAATCTGTATAAAGAACACACAGTTCAGCCTCAGCTGGAGTACTGCATCCAATTCTGGTCAACACACTTTAGGGAGGATGCAAAGGCATTAGAGAGGGTGCAAAGGCAAAGGAGAAATTCCAGAGAATTTTTCTTCAGTTATGTAGATAGATTGGCAAAGTTAGACTAGTCTGCTTGGAAAGGAGAAAGCCCACAGGAGATTTGGTAACATTTAAAAATCATCTACACAGAGAAGATGGAGACAAACAGTTCCCATTGGTGAAAGAATTGAGAACCAGACAGCAAACTTAAGGTAATTGACAAAAGAAGCAATGGCAACGTGAGGAAAAACCATTTCTCTCAGCAAATGATTAGGATCTGGAACTAACTGCCTTAAATTACAGGAGAGACAAGGCAAATAGAGTCATTTAAAAAAAAATTGGATCATCAGAAAAAAAAAGTTGCAGGATGATAGGGAAAAAGCAGCAAAATGGCACTTGGTGTATTGCTCTTTCAGGTCTGTGTACAGTGTGCCAAATGGCTTCCTTTGGTGTCATAACCATTCCATAAAAAGAATTTTATGATTCATTCAGTCATCATTGCACTACGTAATTTTTAAAACAAGTTAACTACAGAAATGTCAGTATACTACAGGCTGTAAAAACTGTCGCTTCAGTGAAGAAATGGTAATGAAGGAACTAAAAGCAATTGTATTACAATGAACAACTGTATTAACAAAATAAAGGAAATTATCCGTTAAGTGTCATACCCACTGATTTCACTAGCTCAGGTTATGATACAGTATGCACCTCAAAGTTGTACTTGCAACTTGAATCCAGATTTGTGACACTATTCTGAATGAAGTATAATATGGAAAACTGTAAGCTTGTCCACTTTGGCATGAAGAATAAAACGGCAGAAAATAATTCTAAATGGTGAGAGATTGCAAAACTCTGCAGTCAAGGGATGGGATGTCCTACTACATGAATTACAACAAGTTTGCTTGAAGTTACAATGTGAAATGTTATTATCTACTCCAAGGTCAGTTTTGGTCTCCTTAATTAAGGATACAAGATGCAGTTCAGATAAAATCTGAACTGATTCCTGGAATGAGGGAGTTGTCTTATGAGGAACGGTTGAGAGGTGATTTTATTGAAATATATGAGATCCTGAGGAAACTTCACAGAGTGAATGCTGAAAGGATCCTCCCCTTGTTGGAGAAACTAAATGGTAGTGGACACAATTAAGGCAGATGTGAGGAGATTTTTATTTCCTCAGGGGGTTGAGAATCTGTGGAATTCTCTTCTTCAGACAGCAGTTGAAGCAGGGTCATTGAATATTTTTAAAGTAGAGGTAGAGTGATTCTTGGCTTAAAGAAAAGAGGTAAAGGGATAAGCAGGGAAACGGAGTTGAGACCACAGTCGGATGAGCCATGATATCATCAAATTTGGCAGGTTCAAACGGGAGTCTCCTGGTCATAATTCATACACTTGTATGTACGGAGATAATGTGCAAAAACATACAACCGTGGAAGATTGGATGAAATAAAAATTACAGTGAGTGATGCCAGTGTCCTGGTGTCTACTGTTCATAGATAAAACTTCTTGTTCATGTTACATTTTACATTTAGTCTGTTGTTCCACTGAAAAAGTAAGAGTTGTGCTGTGATGCAGTACTTCAAATTCTAAACAAAAAAGTATACATGTAGATTATATTGTTGGGAATTAAAGTATAGATAAACTAGAATATAGCTGTTCCAGAGAAGAGGATTAAAATGTTATTACTTAAGTGGCTTCCAGCATAAGTGCAAGAGCTAAGTTAGGCTATAATAGCTGTTCGTTGTATACTTATACAATATATGAATTAATATATACTATAAACTACTTCCAATCTTTAAAATAATCTTCGCATTATTACACAAAAGTAAGGGAATTCTTTGAAACAGCCAGGCACATACCAATTTCACCCACACAAGAGTGTAATGTGTTTGATGCCACTAAACCTTAACAGCAAGAGCCTTCATTTTACCTTTTCCTTTATTGTTCTGGAAGCCACTGGATCCATTCGAAGCAGTTGAATCTTTCCTTAACCTCTTGCTGGGGGGTCTGACACTAGATCTTAAGAAATGATGTTGATCTGGGCTTGTGGCAACTGCTGATGGATCTTCTCTCTTTGTGTTGTGTTGAGAGCTGCTGCCTCCTTCTTCACTCTCCCCATCTCCTTCAGCACTCTCCTCTTCCCCAGACCTTTTACCCAATCTCTTCAGCCCTTCATCGCTGCTCACATCCAGACATTTCGCCGTCATTCTGGGGAATGCAAAACAAGGAAAAAATTAGCCAAAAGCATCTTTAAAAGCATATTTATTTCAAAATTTCTGAACCCTCTCAACTTGCAGCTGTAAACATTTTTTCCAACATGGCCGCCGTTGTTTTTCTCCTGATCCCCCGATCGCTGTCCCGCAACCACCCGCTGAAAATATGCTTCTCCTCGGCCAGGTCGGGGGTCCTGAAGTTGGATCCATGGACCAGCCGGGGGATGGAAGGGTTTTTGTCGACTCGGGGGAGCCAGCGGGGTCGAGAGAGCCGGAGTTTGTGGCAGTGTTCATGTCTTCCTCCTTCCCCTTGAGCTTCACTCCTGAGCCGCGACATGTCGGCCGGGAGCTGCTGAAACCTCCCCACTCATCGCCAAGCTTAGAGGGGC